AAACTGGATTGAGGAAGCAAAGAGAATTGTGAGATGGCCAAAAGTCCAGGGGCCTCATGTATCAACGCTGCGTACGCACAAAAACTTTGCGTACGCCAGGTTTCATGCTCAGAATCGCTCACGTTTGGATTTACTAACAATGAACTAAACGTGGGAATGTGCGCAGCTTCACGGTAGCTTCTTGGCTGGCGTACGCACATTTTTTGTGCGTGTCTGTTTTATTTCCATTGGCGACTCCTAGAGGCAGTTGTGTTCAATTCCTCTCTACAAAGTGTCTGAGCCTTGCAATGGCAGCTGTATGAGACGGGTTCATCTAGCAGGTATATAAGGTTTCCATACCATACAGTTGAGCAGCTAAACATTAAAGCACAATTTGCAGCGGTTGCCTGTTTTCCCAATGTAATCTGAGCTATCTACTGCACGCACATTGCTATAAAGACACTCTCTGAAGATTTGCATGCATGAATCAGAACCATTTCCATTCAATAAATGTGCAAATAAAATATGATGCACAGACTTATTAATGATTCCTACTTGTCTTTCTCGTGATAAATAGTTGGCAAAATCTGATATGTAGCGGGGGAAAAAAAGAAGAAAGAGTTCATCAGACGCTGGATTCGAGCCGAGTTTATGCTCAAACGTGTCAATACATGATCACATGTGTCTAAAGAGCTGCGCCACTGAGACTGTTAAGACTGCTGCAACATTTTACAGATATAAACCAGACTATTTATTTTTTTTGTTTGATGCACTCAGTGCGATGTTCAGACCCAACTGTGTTGACCGCATCAGCTAAACTCTCCCACTCTATTTTTTTCTTTTGTTGTTAATTCCGGAGAACAAACTTGCAAATAACACCGCTTTTCCCCGTTCTACCTCCTAAAGCAGCACCTCAAATTCACATTCTGTTCAAAGTTTCTCTTTTTGCTTGCTTTTGCATTTGCTCTTTCGTTGGGTTTTTCCATTAGCATAGTCATTAGCATATTCATACGTGGGAGGAGGCAGGGAGGGGTTTTGCGCTCGTGCATGTTGCGTTCAGTTACACGTTCATTCGGATGTACAAAAGAATATGCGTGAGATTCGGCGTACGCAGTGTTTTATACATCTGAAATTTTTTCTGCGTACGCACATTTACAGTGCATACGCAATGTTTTAGTAAGATTTCCACGCAAGTCTTCGTACATGAGGCCCCAGGTGAAGTCAGCGTATAAAAAAAATTAAATCAAATGGAGGACTGGCTGACTTTCCGTGTTATTAAAATAAAAAAGACATCAGGTATGATGACATTCTTAGTATATTTGTTTTATTAATCTGAATGTTTTTTGAGGATCAATATTATGTAAGTCTTTGTTCATATCTCTCTTGTGCTTTTTTTCAGTTTGTTAGTAAGTAATACTTAGGCCCAAACCCAATTTTACCCCTTAGCCCCTCTACCCCTTGTTTTGTGTTTCACATGAAGGGTTAGGGCTGTCCCAATTCTATTCATCTTGAAGGCACAGGGCTAAGGTGAAGAGCTAGACAGCCAAGGGATACAAATAAATGCCCAAATACACCAACTGCAATGGCAACATGGCTGCTCATGCAAGTCATGGGATGCACACATTAATTAAATTTTTTTTTTGCAGTGTTAATTGTTTTTTTTTTTTTTTTTTTTACAACAAACAAGCATAAAATCTTTTTTTTTTTTTAAACAAACTTGGTCAATGCATCCAACCTTCTGGCAATGCCTTGACTACCAATATCCTCTGAAGTTTGAGGATTCGACTAAATCTAAAAATAATGGGAGTTTGAAATACAAGAAAAAAAAGAGAAGTAAAAAAGCAGGGTTATTCTGTTTGGGGCAAAAATGTTTACCAAGACCACTGCCATATGAAAAAGACTAGTTCTCAATTTTGAAACCAAAATTGACCTCCAATGCTACTTTTTAGGTTAAGCTTTACACCTGCAAATCCATAAATTCTTTTAATATATTAATTTAACACAAAAACACATTGTTTTGTAGAAAATGAGAAGGACTGTGAAATGTTTGATGCATTGTCACCACTATGCCAGATGGGAAGAAGAAAAGATTAATAAAAAAGAGAACATATAATGATTATATTGAGTGTAAGTGCATAAATTTTCTTCAAAATACTTGTATATATTTTATTACATAAATTATATATTTTCAAAAATGTAAGCTAACACATGTAACACTTGCAAGCCCTTTTATCTCTGAAGATGATCCTGCAAAAGTCACTAAAAAGACAAGTGAGGGGAAATACATTTCTTGAACCTTGTATACATTACACTGTAAAAAAAACTAATTTTACAGAAAATATCCCTACATTTTTTACAGTAATTTTTTTGTCATTTAAAATTATATGTAAAACTTATTAAAATGACAAACAATCTCTCTAAATTCACAGTTTTACTTTCATTTTAGGTACTTTATCATTAAAGACAAATTACTGACATTTTTGTTTTTATACAGGGAAATTACAGTATTGTTTATACAATACTTTTTCTGTTATTTTAAATTATATTTAAAAATCCGTAAAAATTACAATATCTGTAAATTAACAGCTTGACTGTTATTTTATGTACTATATAAGTAATGACAAATTGCAGCAATTTGTCTGTTTTGTACAATAAAATTGCCATATTATTTACACAGTGTTTTTTCTGTTTTTAATGAAGTACATTTAACATAAAATTAAAGTAATAAATTGTAATTACTTGCTCTGTAAAAAAAAAAAGAAATCTTAAAAAAATGTCAAATGACTGGCAGCTACGGCTGCCAAACAAAAATCATAAAATTATGGTAAAATTTCTTTGTTGAAATAAAGTGCAAAAATGAATAAATCTACAGATATTTTCATTAAAATGTTTACAGAAAAACACTGTTATTTTACAGACTTTTCCTAGATTATTACGATCAAATCCGTTCAATAAAGTTACACACTAAGTGCGCTCACATGCACCTGTTCCAGATTCTGCTGATTGCACACACAGTCGGAGGATCATTATGAACTGATTACATGCACTTTAAAAGCAGCATAGACCAATTGCTTAGTCGTGTTATATTGTTACTGTGAACATTATGACGCGTTTCTCTTCTTTTGCCTTGCCTTGCCTTGCCTTGCCTTGCCTTGCCTTGCCTTGATTTGCTTTGTTTGTTAATTGTTTACGTTGTTTGCTGCCGGGACTGACCATTTGCCAGTTGACTCTGGATTCCCTGCATGATGTTACATCTGTTTGCCCATGTGTTGACTGTTGTTTGCCTGACCATCTATGTGTAATAAACCTGCATTTGGATCTGAACTCCTTTGTCAATGTCCCCTTCACGTTACAGTTCCATTTAATTTAAGGTCTGTAACTGAATCATTCTATATAACTTAAACCTCTACATGTTTTACATGAACACTATACAATAAAATGTAACAACTGTAATTTTAATGTTGTGAGAATTTTAATCACTTGTATCTCGATTGCTGTTTTTTCCAAAATTTTTTGATCCAAAATATAACTGTTAAATTACGATCATGAGCATGTCTTGGCATTTTATTAAAGGTGTTTAATCGTAATGATTTAGGGAAAATTCTTTTAAATAACATTTTCTCTTAAACTTTTAGTGCAGTCACTTTATTGATGGTGTTTGATCATAATAATCTAGGAAAGTCTGTTTAATAACAGTGTTTCTTTGTAAAACTCTTAGTGTGTACCTTTATTGAACAGATTTGATCGTAATAATCTAGGAAAAGTCTGTAAAATAACAGTGTTTTTCTGTAAACATTTTAATGAAAATATCTGTAGATTTATTATTTTTTGCACTTTAGTTCAACAAAGACAAAGACGTTTTTTTTATCTTACAGTGTATTTTTTGTCAGCAAATTCTGTACCCTATAGCTCCTTAACCCTTTGAAGCTTTATATTGTGTGTGTATGTTTTATATATATATATATATTTTTTTTTTTTTTGGTGGGGGGGGCGGGGGGTCTTCAAATTTTTGAAAATGTTGGTGGTATACAGTTTCTTTTAAAGTGTGACTTTTGAGATTAATAGACTCATATTAGGCTGTCTACATACACCTAACACACACACCACTTACAGACAGTACACAATATAATCAGCGCACATGAGCAGTGCAATATGTATTGCATATTAATAATAATGTAAATGAACAAAAAGCTGAAGTGTTTCAGTAGTCTGAGTACAGGAATTAGCATGTAAGCTAACAAATCACTCATGTTCTCATTCACAATAGAGACACTGGGTTTCCCATACACCAATTTATTTGTAGTAATGTGGAAGTTTTCACATGAACATATCTTTAAAGGTAACCAGTTGTGTACAGAAAGTTTAATTGTCTTCATGAAGAAAACTTCCTTTCTTAAATCAGTCCATCAAAATAAATGTTTAGTGTTTTGAAAACAAAGTCTTAATTTGTTACCCAAAACCACATAATAATCTGACACAAATCTGATCTATTGCAACTGGCAAATGGCATTGTGTAGTCTGAACAGGGTTTAGGGAGTCTGCATCAGTCAGTCACTGTCAATGCCTTATGGCGAGTTCACACCGCACAAGTTCAGCCAGACTTTAATTCGCCAACAAGTTTTATAAATTGCAGACAAAAGCCCAAAACTGGAGGCAAATCTGTGTTTGTTCACGTGAATGACAATCAAATAATATGAATGATTGAAAACACAATCTAAGGGTGTAGGACAGTTTCTCATCCCTAATCTTTCTAATTTTCTTCTCATTGTTGACCATTTGAAGTGTGCAATGTGCAAAAATATGGTTATTGGTTCATCATAAAGTTGAAACTCTTACAACCTGGTGTTGCGCTGTGACCCATGATCTACACTGCAAAAAAATCTTCACCCCTCCTCAGTTATTGAGTTTAAATCTTCAGGTGTTCAAAGGGTTTCATTTTCAGTAACGATATGTATTCAAGAGTTCACACTTGTTTGGCATGCTGTCCCGGGAGAGAGCCCCAAGCTCCGGTGGACAAGGCCTCAATTTTGAGAACTCTGCTCTCCATTGTGAAGCTTCATGTGAGTGTTAAGGCTTCTTTCAGATTTAAAGCTTTTTCCACATTCACAGCAACTAAAACGCTCTACTGAATGAGTCTTCATGTGGTTCTTAATGGAGTCTTTGCGTGTGAGACTCTTTCCACACTGATCACATGTGAACACTATGGTTCCAGTGTGAACATTCATGTGGTTCATGAGGCTAGATTTGGTTGTGAAGCTCCTTCCACACTGAGCACATGTAAATGGCTTCTCTCTGGTGTGACTTATCATGTGTTGTTTGAGTGTGCTTTTAAATCTGAAACTTTTACCACACTCTGTGCATGTGTAAGGTTTCTTTCCACTGTGAATCCTCATGTGGATCTCAAGGTCTTGCTTTTGAGCAAAACTTTTCCCACACTGTTGGCAAGAAAAAATTCTGCCATCATTGTGAGCTCTAATGTGGGCTTCAAGGGTACTATTTTGCTTAAAACTCTTTCCACACTGAATGCAAGAGTAGGGCTTTTCCACAGTGTGAATTCTCATGTGCGCTGCCAAGTTTGCTGATTGATAGAGGCTTTTTCCACACTGTAGGCATGTGTACGGCCTCTCTCCAGTGTGAATTCTCATGTGCTGTGCAAAGTTTCCTGTAGTATAGAAGCGTTGTCCACACTGTTGGCATGTGTAGCATCTCTCTCCAGTGTGAGTTCTCATGTGGACTTTAAGGTAGCCATTTTGCTTAAAACTCTTTCCACACTGAGGGCAAGAGTAAGGCTTTTCTCCAGTGTGAACTCTCATGTGGACTTGAAGGTTGTGTTTTCGAGTGAAACAGTTTCCACACTGAAGACAAGTAAAATTACATGCAGATTTGGATTTCCAAGGTCCTCCGCATGATGAAGTCTTTTCAGTCAGTGTGGGTTTTTCATCAGTTGTTGTTTCTTGGTGTTTCTCAAACTGTTTCTCTTCCGTTTTATTCCAATGATGAGTCTCTTCTTTCAGCACCATCAGGTCTTAAAAAAAAAGTGAACTTTAGTATGAAGGCACAAAGCAACAAGCATTAACTGGATGTTTCACCCAAAAATGACAATGACCTTACCATTTACTCTCCGTCATGTGGTTTTAAACATTTCCTTTCTTCTGAAACATAAAGAAAGCCAGCAGTTTTAATTTTATTTAAAAAATCTTCTTTTGTGCTCAACAGGATTTAAAAAAAAACTAATAAAGGTTTAAAACCACACAAGGGAGAGTGTGATGAGGCATGATGGAATACAGGTCACAAAGAATATGGCAGAGCACTTATATGCAAAATGTCATTTATTGACAGTGTCCGTTCCTTATTACAGTCCATTCAAAACTGCTCATAAATATGTACAAATTATATCCGTAAAAAAGATAGCAAAAATAAAGAAACAAAAATCAAAACAAACAAACTAGAATATAAATATTTACATGTAGAAATTACCGCTCTTTGCTGTTCAACCTTCCACAAAAAGGTCCGGTACACTAGCACTATTGGCCTCCTACTGCAAAAGACCTCCTTAACAACCATCTGGTCTGGCTTTTAGACTAAATACCTTCTATTACTGGCTTTTATACTAGATAAAATATTGCACACTTATAGATGATCACACACATCACATTCAGATCATCTCCAGTATCATAACAGGTGTATTTAACAATATTATTATTATGTATTTTCTTATTTCGCTGGTTTTGTATTCCAAGCTCTCCCCAAAAACAGGCAACATTAAGGAAATCCAGTTATCTGAGTGATTCCGCATGCGCGGTGTGGAAGTTTAGCATTATCAAGCTTTCTAGGCAGCTACCGGAGTTTGCCAGTTGCTTCCGGTAACCTGGACTGCAACACCACACAACAAAGAAAGATGAGACCTGAAACTTGCAATAGTTCAATAAATATGGATGTGTAACCTATTTGGTGTCTGTGTGTGTATATTGGGAACATCTACAGATGTAGTGACAAGTGAATGAATGTGTGTGTGTTATATATGCAAAGATAATATTATCCCAATCTTTGTGTGCATCCAAGGGTTGGGAATGGCAGAATCACTGATGGTTATTAGACTGTGTATAAATGAAATGATGTACTGTAATGATCCTGAGAAGAATGAATAAATGGTGAGGCAATTTGCATTTCTGGGTGAACTATCACTTTAAAGCATGGGTCTCAAACTTGATTCCTTGAGTGCTCTGCCCAGTTTTGCTACAAACCCAATCAAATACAGCTGATCCAGCTAATCAAGGTCAGACTACTACAGACTATTTTAGACATCCCAAGTCTCCAGGAAGTTCCAGGAGTCTCCTGCATATGCATAGGGACTCCGGAGTGCCCGCAAACAAATGATCGAATGATAATCTCCAGTAAGTTGTGTGTGTCCCCCCGGTCCTCAAATATGTTGCGCACCCCTCTCCAATGCATCCCTCCCTGCTCCCTGCTTTAAATGCAAATGATCAAATGCACTCACTCTGGATTACTCGTGATATGTTCCCTCATGTGTATCCACCACTCGATTTTAACATTTTTAACCTGCTTGGTAGACCCGTTTGAGACAAATCCTGCATGTTCGTAGCAAGTGCGCATAATTCACACTTATATTTGGGAGTTTGCATTACTGTATATAACTTATGCAAATGCTTAATGCCACGTTTGGTGTAAACTGGAGTGATGAGGAGATGGCGAGATGACATACTTTGCTACTTGTTTTCCTTCATTTGTATTTATGTCTTTGTTTTCTTGCCTTTGTGCATGTCCTGAGATATAGCTGAAGACCTACATGATGACATTTTATATACCCGACTAGATGCAGAAATGCCATCTAAAAAGGGTTTCCTGCTGTTTGTCCAATTTAGGGACAGTGACAATGTAAATATAGAAATAATAATATTAACCCGTGGTTTGGGAATGTGAACCGTCTGTTAATGAACACCCAGGATTATTTTTAAACCCCAGGTATAGCATGAGCAGTGTGGAAGGTGATTACAGATAACACAGGATTCTGTTTATCCAGAGTTGGAATGACCCAGGGTTAACCAATTTTAGCATAACATCAGCATGCTGTAATCCATTTCTTAAGCAGCAAAAGTCATTTTTAGACTAGTTTGTTGGCCAGTTGTAGTCAGTGCAATGCTAAACGTTATAGTTCCTCTATAATTTGTTTGTTTTGCCTCATGTCGTCCCACAACAACATCATATAGTTTAGAATACTGTACAATGTTTTAAAATAAATAATTATTTAAGTGTTCATTTCATTCAGCATATTTAAAATTTGGGGCATCCATGTTTTCTGACATTTTAAACAAAGGTTTCTGCAGGTTTTACCAAGTTAAATGTAAGACTTTTTAAGACCATTATAAATGAAATTTTAGACTCATAAGGCTAAGGTATTTTTCAAATGGCCCAGATGGAAAAGATTTTTGTTTGCCCTATCAACAAATAATATAATTTAATACATTTAATAATAAAATAATAAATGAATAATAAAACTAAAAAATATATATTTAGATATTTCTGAGCAAAATATTTTAAATATTGTGTAAAAACAAGCAAGCTTTACTTATATCCACACACTTTTTTTCCAACATACACTTTATTTAAAACAAAATAATAAAAATGTTTTAAAAGTTTTAAAACTTTAATAAACTAAATCTATGCACAACAATCTGTCCAGGTCGATGTCCTGAGCAGTAAAGACAAGGAGCATGTTAAAACAAGAGTTATTGTAAGGAAAATAATTAAACCATTATGATGAATAGAGTTAAAATGACCTTTTTGAATTAAAAGTTGAAAGTTGTATTGAGATGGATTGTTGGTGATTGTATGGGTTTTGGCCAGATTGGGTAACAAAACATGAACAAAGCAAAATGTAAAAAAAATAAATAAATAATTTTTTAGGCCTAAAACACAATATTTCAGTAAATTTAGGACTTTTTAAGGCGTGAAATTTGGAGTTTGGAATTTACGACATTTTAAGAAAACCCTATTTAAAAAAGCATTTAATAACAATTAATTGTTTTAGTGTCCATTTCATTCAGTATATTTCAAATTGGGGGCATCCACGTTTTTTGACATACTTTAAACACAATAGCCCTGGTAATTAGTTATTATAATAATAATGTAATTCTAACTCAGATACTATCTGTGGGAACTAGTAACAACTATTAAAACTAGTTTAAACACATTGAGAAGTTGATGAAGAAAAGGAAATTGTGATCAACATGACATTTGCAAATGGAAAGTGCTAAGAAAACACTATCCCCACAGTAGCAGATATCTTCTATTAGAAAACTGTTGGTCAAATATTGTCAGCTCAGTTATACTTTTATTTATTTATTGTTTTTTATTTATTTTCTATAGTGCAAGTGCTCAAGGACGCTTTACAAACAGTAAGAGAACAAGAAAAGCAATAACCTTTTGTCAAAATTGAGATATTGACATTTTCTTATTAAATGACATCTTATTTACATTATAGGATTTTTTTTATAAGTTGTATACATTAAGACTTTTTATTTAAAAAAAAAAAAATGTTACACACATACTGTTTGCTATGGGATGCAAAAAACTTTGAAGCTCAATATCTCAAAATCATTCAGAAAGTAGATAGAACCTAAAATTCCAAGGTGACGAAATGGGAGACTAATAATACATAAAATAAATGACAAAAGACATGAAAACAAGTAATGAAAGAAACTCATTCCTATCTTTCAATGAGTGCTTATGTGCATTTAGGAGAACTAGGCAGCACACTCAGGGCTGCAAGATGGATTAATTTAGTATTCTTATTATTAAAATATATCTGAATGAGGATCAAATGATTGAGTTGGTCTAAAATAAAAAAAAAAAACTGTTTTTTCCCGCTGATCTTCCTGTTTGACTGTGAATGTTTCTTCAATCTTCACATCTTCACTCTCCTCTTTAATAAACGCCATCTTTATAACAGTGTGGAGATCAGTCGCTTCAGCAGGAGTTTTTCTCTGTTTGGACACTTTATTCTGTTTAAAATAAGCAAAACAATTTAAAAAAATGTCCTGTTTAAAATAAATAAAACAATGAACAGAAACAAAATAACTTCTCTTTAACACTTGCTTCAGCTGTTTCTTTATATGAGAGTCATTAACAAAAAGAAATCAGGAAAGTCAGAGCAAAAAACAATATCCACAAATGAGCTGATTAAAACTAGTACCCCATTTCTTATACAGTGAAGTATACTTAGAATGAAATAACATTATGCTATTTAATAAATTAAACCTACATTAAAACACTTATTACACACATTTCTGTAAACTTATTTAAACAATAGCCCTCATTACTGTGAGTAAAACAGTACTACGTTGTATAAAGGGTTAAATAATATTTTCAACAGCAACTTCATAATTTAGCATTGGATGAAACTTAAATCAATTGGTTTATGTCTGTGTAAAAGTTTTAAACACAAACCTCTCTCCAGTTGAATCCCATATGATACGCAGCCATATGATGTCACACACCACGGCAAAATAAAAGTCTTTTTTTGTTTAGCTTTTTTTTGCCACTTAATGTTGGAGTCATGTACATTTCTCCCTCGTTTTCCACTTTACACTATCGCTCTCTTTCTCTTTCTCTCTCTCTCTCTCTCTCTCACACACACACACACACAGAGACACACGCACAGATACAGTGTTTGAAATTGATCAAAACTTTTAATCTAAACATTTCTAGAACAATTAAAAAAAATTAATCTACTTTATGATGACTTGCAGGTCTAAAGCACATTACTATTAATATCCAAATCTCATCCTCGTAATTATGACATCAACTTTCCTATTTCTACAACTTCATAGGCTATATCTACTATGTTTTAGTGCAGTCTAGGCACAATTGAAAAATAGGCTTAATTATAATATTTGTTAAATAAAATTAATCTATAATGTATTGCCCACATTTTTAATTAGTCTTAGTGGATTAAAAATGTTTTTTAATTGTTTTACAAATGTTTAGAGTAAATGTATCAACAAGTCATGACTGCACCAGTAAGTGACAATAAAAAGGTAAACAAAAAGACTTTTATTTTGGCGTGGCGTGTGACGTCATAAGGCTGCGCCGCTCCTGTACTGTGATTCCACTGGAAAGAGGTTTGTTTGAAAGCTTTTACATGAATAAAAGCGATTGATTAAAGTTTCAGGTTTTTACCCGATAGTAAATTATGTACCTGCTATTAACAATATTATTTTTACTCTTTATACAACGTAGTACTATTTTACTCATAGTAATAAGGGCTATTGTTTGAATAAAGCAAAAGCAATGTCTGTACGTGTTTTAATGAAGGTTTAATTTATTAAATAGCATAATGTCATTTCATTCTAAATATACATCCCTATATAAAAAATAGAGTACTACTTTTGTTCAGGTCATTTGTGGCATTTTGTTTCTTGCTCAGACTTTTACCTGATTTCTGCTTAATGACTCTCATATAAAGAAACTGTTGCAGTAAGTGTTGAAGAGAAGTTATTTTGTTGCTGTTCATTGTTTTATTCATTTTGTACAGGACATTTTTTTAATGTTATGTTCATTTTAAACAGGATAAAGTGTCCAAACACAGAGAAAAACTGCTGCTGAAGCGACTGATCTCCACACTGTTATAAAGATGGCGTTTATTAAAGAGGAGAGTGAAGATGTGAAGATTGAAGAAACATTCACAGTCAAACAGGAAGATCCGCAGGAACAAACAGGTTGATTTTCATTCTCAAAGACCAACTCAGTCATTTGATCCTCATTCAGATATATTGTAATAATAAGAATACTAAATTAATCCATCTTGCAGCCCTGAGTGTGCTGCCTAGTTCTCCTAAATGCACATAAGCACTCATTGAAAGACAGGAATGAGTTTCTTTCTTGTTCTTATCTATTTTGTCATTCTTTTATGTATTATTAGTCTCTTATTTTATTTACGCTCTTAAGGTTATTGCTTTTCTTGTTCTCTTACTGTTTGTAAAGCGTCCTTGTGCACTGGCGCTATATAAAATAAATAAAAACATTAAATTTGTTTTTATATAAACCTACAGTATTCTCATAGGAGATATCTGCTATTACAGGGATAGTGTTGGCTTAGTACTTTCCATTTGCATATGTCACGTTGATCACAATTCCTTTTTCATCAACTTTTTAATGGGTTTAAACTTTTTTTTTATAGTAGTTGTTGCTAGTTCTCACAGATATTATCTGAGTTAGAATTACATAATTATTATTATTATAACTAATTTCCAGGGCTATTGTGTTTAAACAGGGTTTCAGGGGTCTTAAAATGTCTTAAATTCCAAAATCTAAAATTTTAGGCCTTAAAAAGTCTTAGATTTACTTAAATATTGTGTTGTAGGTCTTAACTCTTGTTTTAAACAAGTCTTCATTTTTATTTGTTCATGTTTTGCTACCCAGTCTGGCCAAAACCCATACAATCACTAACAATCCATCTCAATAAAACTTTTAACTTTTTATTCAAAAAGGTCATTTTAACTTTATTTATCATAATGCTTTAATTATTTAACTTACAATAACATTTGTTTAAACTTGCTCCATGTATTTACTGCTGAGGACATCGACCTAGACAGATTGTTGTGCAGAGATTTAGTTTATTATAGTTTTTAAAACTTTTAAAACATTTGTTCATTTTTTACTATTTTTTCAGAGAAAGTTTATGTTTGGAAAAGTGTATGGATATAAGTAAAGCTTGCTTGTTTTTACACAATATTTAAAATCTTTTGCTAAGAAATATCTAAATTATTGTATTTTTTATTATTAATTTATTATTGTGTTATTAAATATATAAAATTATAATATTTTTTACAGAACAAAAAAAATCTTTTCCATCTGGGTCATTTGAAAAATTATTTTGCCTTTAGCCCTTTATGAGTCTAAAATTTCATTCATAATGGTCTTAAAAATGTCATAAAAGTCTTGCTTTTTACTTGGCGAAACGTGCTGAAACCCTGGTTTAAATTATATTATTTATATTAACTTATATTATTTCATTTTTAACAATCAATTAAATTACACAGTGGTTTTATATCCGCTGTGTTTTTTATATTATATATATATAAAAAGTTTATAGTGATTTAAAATATACTACAGTTTGATGGTAAAAATATAACCTAGTGATATTTTGAGTAAAAGCAATACCGACATTTAAGAATGCATATTTATTTGACTCATTCATTCGACTTGTTTATTGGTGCATATAAAGGGTATTATATAAATCATACAACAGTACATTGTAGAGCTGCACAATTAATCGTTAAAAGATCGCGATCTCGATTCGACCCCCTAGACCATGGGTCACCAAACTTGTTCCTGGAGGGCCGGTGTCCTACAGATTTTAGCTCCAACTCTAATCAAACACACCTGAACAAACTAATCAAGGTCTTACTAGGTATACTTGAAACATCCAGAAAGGTGTGTTGAGGCAGGTTGGAGCTAAACCCTGCAGGGATACCGGCCCTCTAGGACCGAGATTGGTGACCCCTGCCCTAGACGATCTTAATCCTGCATTTCTACGATTCTGTCAATCATTCTTTTAAGTTCAGGAAAGAAAAAAAGGCGGCCGGTCGAGTCTTTTCATTGTTTCACATACGTTGCTCAGTGACATTGACACCTCCAAATGATGTTGAATGGAGAATGAAAATACTGTATTTATAAGCTATAGTTTACCTAGAAATGTCATTTTTGTCTTCATATAATGATGTTTTCGCGGCCAAGAAATCACACGTGACGTGAGCTGCTGAACGTGAGCAGAAAAGGCGCGTGCTCTACTTCATAATAGACACATGCGCGTCTACTTTAGGGAACAGAACCTGCATATGTTGCGAGTAACAGGTAATAAAGTTGTAAATAATATTCAGTTTGTGGCACAGAGTGATCGTTTGGGAGCCGTGCGGGAAGTATTAACAGTACTAAAGTGTGCACTTCATTTAAATGATCAAATCGCATTTTAGAGTTATGACTACAACAAGCATTTGATATTTATTATTTTTCTTTCATAGCGAACCCACAGTTGTGCATGAAAATAAATGTTTACAATTTCAGTATAACTACTAGAGCCTATATACTGTTGAATATAATCTGATAATGACAAATGTCTGATTTTACCAGTGAATACAATTGTCTAATATGACAGATTGCAGGCATATATCTCAAACATAATAATTCAACATCATAATTATTATAAGTAGAACAGAATTATTTATAGAAACCAGTAGACCAAGACATAATATTATTATCGATGTTGTGCCATGTGTTTGTTTTTACCATACTTTTATTTTACATCTACAGAATCCTGAGAGAATCGTGATCTTAAATTTAAGCAAAAAAATCGCGATTCTCATTTTAGCCAGAATCGTGCAGCTCTAGTACATTGGACAGTTACAGTGCCACTCTGTAAAGCTTTCAAGCAAAGTCCAAAAATATTATAAAGGGTTGACTTTCTACCGTAGACTTTTGGACGGCCGACATTACAACACTCAGTAACCGTCCTTCAGGTGGTCTCGCTGGAATTAAATTAACAAGCCGCCTGGGCTTTGAATTAAAAAGTGCAATTATTTCCTCGTTGTCAAAAGAGTTTGCATGTTCGTGTTCCATGAATATAGTGATGGTGTTGTGGAATTTGGACATCGATGATGTTAAGCTTGTCTTCATTCGCTTTACTTGTTGTGCGGCAGAAAACAGAAAGTCTTTCAGCAACAAATGCAGTCGTTGGTAAATTTCTCTCCCGCATCAGAGCGGGTTTTGTGCTGTCAAATACAGCAATAAACTCACATTCAGTCAGGTGAAGTAAAAGTCTCATTGCCTTGTCAATCAAATTAATCAAGCTCTAGCCATAAATAAAAACAATAGGCTATTTCATTGTTTTTAAGATTTTAGATGACAGGTTAGTAATTATGTCACACATTATTATATGCACGTCAATTAAATAATAACTTTAAATAAATAAAATATCTTCGTAAGAATGTGATGAGTTATACACTTCTCTTCTAGAGACCGCTCTACGGTTTAAAAACCCTTTCAAACAGTAGTGTATTTTATTGAGGATGAATGTCTGATGACTAATGCGCTTCTGCTGAGCCAGCTGTGGTAGCTTGGCAACAGAGCCGCGACGTCAACACAGAATGTGTCAGCACAGCTCAGCACGGTTGCTCAGCTTATAGTTTGATTTAATCATTTACAACTGACACACTCCCCAGCACTGCCACAGCAGTTAAAACGTCTCTCCAGAGGCATACTTTTCTTCTAATACTGACTTTCATCGCACCTCTGCAGTCGCAAAGATGCTGAGCTGAGCTTAATTTCCCTCTACACCACTGCTGCAGCAGTGATGATCTGTTGAGCTCATATACACTTCCATTTAGCCATTCACTACTGATACACTCCCCAGCACTGTCACAGCGGTTAAAGCGTCTCTGCGGAGGCATATTTCCCTTCCAATATTGACTTTCATTGCACTTCTGCAGCAGAGACGCTCCGCTGAGCTTCATTCCCCTTCGCACCACTGCTGCAGCACTGACGCTCTGCCTGAGCTCATGTCCACTATCATTCATCCATACCACTACTGACACACCCCCATCACTGCCAAAGCAGTTAAAACACTTCTGCAAAAGCATAGTTTTACTTTTTATTATTGACTTCCATCGCACATCACAACAAAGACGCTCCGCTGAGCTTCATTCCCCTCTGCACCACTGCCGCAGCAGTGATGCTCTGCCTGAGCTTTGTTACACTTCCAAATTTTTATTCTGATACTCTGTTCTGCCACAGTAGTTTAAACGCCTCTGTGGATGCATAGTTACCTTTTAATAATTTCATGATACTGACACTCTTCACACGTGTGCAGCAGCAGAGACACTCTGCTGAACTTTATAGCTACATTTCACCACTGCCATTGTAAGCCTCTCTAACAGAGCTCACGCATACTTGCTTCAAACCATTATATTTACCTCACTCTCCCGCCCGGTCCATGCAATTAACACTGGCTCGGGAGCACACACAGTTGTACATATTCAGTCAGCCAGTACACCACTCCAGTAGCAATGTCCACTCTTCTCTCACCATTTACACCCGCATCGGCCCCTTTTTGCTCCTACAAGCTTTTCTAGCACAATTTGTAACATCTTTATATACCCAGCAGCCAGGTATTGCTTTGATTAGAGTTTTAAGACTTAATGAAAACTAATGTTCTTTTGTATATTTCAGACCTAATTGAAGAGAATGAGGGGAGTAAAGAGGAGGAACATCATGTCAAAATTGAGGAACAAACGCATTTACAGACTGATGGTAGTTTGAAAAGGAGATACGAGAATTGTTTCACCTGCACTCAGTGTGGAAAGAGTTTGTCAAGCAAAAGCAAACTTAATATTCACATGAGGATCCACACAGGAGAGAAACCATTTACTTGCACTCAATGTGGAAAAAGTTTCAGGCAATCATCATCCCTTAATCAACACATGATGATCCACACTGGAGAGAAACCATTCACATGCACTCAGTGTGGGAAGAGTTTCAGGCAATTATCATCCCTTAATCAACACATGATGATCCACACTGGAGAGAAACCATTCACCTGCACTCAGTGTGGAAAGAGTTTGTCAAGCAAAAGCAAACTTAATATTCACATGAGGATCCACACTGGAGAGAAACCATTTACTTGCACTCAGTGTGGGAAGAGTTTTAACTGCTTATCACACCTTAATCAACACACGAGGATCCACACTGGAGAGAAACCATTCACATGCACTCAGTGTGGGAAGAGTTTTAACTGCTTATCACACCTTAATCAACACACAAGGATCCACACTGGAGAGAAACCATTCACATGCAGTCAGTGTGGGAAGAGTTTCGGCCAATCATCATCCCTTAATCTACACATGAGGAGCCACACCAGAGAGAAACCATTCACCTGCACTCAGTGTGGGAAGAGTTTCACCCAATCATCAGACCTTAATAAACACATGAATACCCACACTGGTGTGAAATAGTATATGTGCTTGGGTGTGAGAAGACTTTTATTAAAGCTCCAAAATTGAAACTGCACCAGATGATTCACAATGGAGAGACCGCACAAGTGTTCACACTGTGACAAGAGGTTTAATCGGTTAACACATCTAAAAACACAGAAGAGGATTCACTCTGGAGAGAAACCATACAGATCTGATTAGTGTCTACAGAGTTTTGCTCATTCGACGCAAACACATGACATGAATGCAGCAAAACATTTTCTCATGTGCACAGGATGTTTCTGTCTGAATAATCTTTGAAAAGGCTGAGTGACGCTATACTGTTTACCAACACTCCTACACTGCAGTAGGTGGGGTTGTAAATGTGTTGTGTCTACCGTAAACACACTGGTGGTGACTAAGAGAAGAACAGTTTCACAAACATCTGACAAACAGCACCTCTTGACTTAGCCGGTTAGTGACTTAGCCAATGTCACTGTTTAAATGTCATCAACTCTAAATATTTACCTTTAACATTCAGATAGCAAAGAGTTAACTGTAATTAACCATTGAACTCTCAATGAATTTAAACATGTGTTTGTAACCTAATATGGATGGCAGTCTTCAATTTCACAGCTTCAAATTAATAAAACCTTTCACAATTATTATTATTTCCCGAGAGTAAACAGAATCAGGAAAATAAGTCATCATTAACCATTGCAAACAGAGCCGGATAACCCATCCATTTAAAGCTCATCTCATGGTCTGTATCATCTTTTCATTAGATTCACTCAGCATTATTGACTTCTGCAATGTTTGATATTTTGCTTGTTCAATCGATGATGATATAACACTCATTCCAGAGGTTAGTGACAATATTCATACAAGGACAAATCATAACTAAGTTTGCTTTAGGTGTTGAACTCGCACAAATTTATTCTTAAAATTCTTTTTCCAGTTTCACCTAGATCTTCACCTTTTATCAGGTTTCAAAGTTTTCATGTTTATAATCAATGTCTTTTCTGAGACAATCAGCTGGTGTGTTTTGTTTTCTTAATATTGTTGCTAAGCAAGTCGATAACAGAAACAAAACACAACTCACGGCTTCACTCAAACAGTCTCTGTCTCTCTGTTTCATGCACAGAAATTTTCAATAGTCTTAGACTATAACATTAAAATGATTACAATTCAGAATCTTTAATCATTCACCAACGTTCCAAATGTCAAAAGTTTGATCTCTTAAAACTCAGTTGGAACTATTTAGAGACTAAGAGAATTTCTTATAATTATTTTATCTTAACTGCTTAATTCCATTCAGCTGTGTTATCCAAACCATCTCACAGCCAGTCTTTATCTTTAGCCAACACCATCTTGAAATTGTCCTTCGCCATGCATAAGGACCTGCATCAGTAAAATACTATGAAAAATCAGACACATCAGTTAAAAATCATCTCAGCTTCACATTCAGGAATTCAGCATTCTTAAAATTCAGACATATAAAATATCCAGTGCTGTTAAAGCAGCCAACCACATTGATATTGGTAAAATTTTAAGAAACTTTACTGTCTCCAATGGTTCTCGAAAGCCCATTGCCATTAACTTTTTACCAATCATCTCCTTTAGGGTATCATACCCTGGCATAGTCCGTTGATGCTTGTCCCAAGGACAGACATGTCCTCAATAAAGGCAGGATTCTCGTGATCAGGTCTGGACGGGGCCACTGAGGCAGACTACTGTAACTTCAAACAGTTCCTCTCTAAGGATGCTTTAGGCCAACAGAGCATCACCCCAGTCCAGCACCATCTTTCACATTAAACATCCCCCTTTTCGGGTAGATGCCCTGGGGTTTAGGATTCAAGCTCGTGCAGAGGATGAGACGGACAAAAGTAACCAATGCATGCCCTTCTTTTACTAATTTTTGTGTTGTCAGATTCACAGTGCAAACAGCTCCTGGTAGGAATAACTCGAGTGAACATAAAACAAAGCCGATTAAAACTTTCTTGCTCTGCTCAGCTGCACAGAACACAGCGAGCTCACATAATCCAGCATGCATGTCGAACTACACTACCCACAATACACTTCGCTATGGAGTACAAATCCCGTATATATTCTATTTCCCCTCTCCTACAACACTAGCGTGCAACTTAAGCAAAACTAATACTAAAATTGTTTTACATTTGGTTTTGTAGTTCGGGCCTAAATAAATGTTTGTTGCCGTTTTTAATTTTTTAAAGTTAATTTAAATTATTATATATAAGCCATTTGACATTATTAACGCATTTATTGGGTAAAATTGTGCTTTTTACTCTCATTCAATGTGTTTTGGTCATTATCAATGCACTGTCACTTTAATTGAGCATGAGCAGCGCATCAAAAATAGACCCAGCGCCGAAACTATCGCTGCTGCTGCTGCGTGCGGTATGAAAGCTCTAATCTGTTAACATGGATGCCAAAAACACAGGCGCTGCTCACGCTCTGCTCACGCGCCGCTGATGCTTGCGGTGTGAAACAGACGTTAGCTGACATCTAATGAGAGAGAAAAGACAGTTTTGAGCAATCCAGAACTGTTAATGCTTGTTTACTAGATTAAAACATAAATTAAACATAACATTAACCTCAATAACATAATTTTATTGTAATCTTTTTACTCAAGCCCGTCCTAAAACATATAAAACAGAGTTGAAATGCATTTTCAAAGTAATGCTGTTACAGTCAACAATAGTTTTAGATCTTTCAGGGGTTAACTGCATCCATCAAAGTATTATTTGAAACCCCCATTTATGTTACATATATATTATTAAAAATATATATATCCAACCATAAAGCTGCTTGTTTGCACAGACTTACATGGCACATTTTTATTCAGACATGTCTCTGTTATTTTTACAGCCAAAACCAAGCTCATGGTGAGGGCTAAACCAAGATAACAGTGCAGTCACACAGAATCATATCTTCTAAGACAAAACATAAGCTATTCTTTATTCCCATAATGTTACTGTCAGTTTCTGTGCTTAATTTTTGCTACTAGCCCCTAAATATTTAAATATTTCGCAATGAGTTCCTTGGCCGCTCTGCTTACAATCACCAATCAATAACAATTATACTCTCACATAACGTCATTAATTGTGTCATACATATTTGGTGTTCTAACCTGATTGGTTAAAACACAGATAAACTAGGAACATTTCTACGTGGGGTTTGTGCGTACAATTCTGAACAATATCTAAACATAAATGTCAGACATCCTTTAGACTGATTAGAGCTGACTCCAGACCTGTGAAATGGATCAACAATCAAATAGAACACACACACAAAGTATAATCTGTTTCTTATCCAAGGCTGACTGTACTGTAAGCCGTCTTTATCGAACTGGTTAAAAACTGGTATAATCTACATTCAGGCAGTTATATTCTTACTACACAAAGTCTATCTTGAATAAAAAGTAGAATAACTTTAAAAGATTTAACCGTAAAAATAGCAAAATCACTTTAGACATTTTAGACAGTATTAACTCCTAGAAATAACAATAGAAACAGTTGTTTCCAGTCCTCAGCCCTCAGTTCCACTCAAGGTCTCCATGACCTCTGACCTAGTTTGCTGGCTCCTGAAAATAGGTATAAAGAGACAGGCAAATGCACTGAACATTCTTATATTAAGCAATGTGTTAACTTATTCATTAATTAAAATCAATTCACAGTTAAATACTGAGAAACAGGATGATGAAAAGGATAAACGTTGGTCCATGATGAGATGGACTGGAAAACAGAAATCCGAATCCTTCATAGGAGACATTAAATAGATCAATGATAACTGCAGAAGGTCTTTCTGCTGTTGTGGCAATGAATTGCCACAAGTCAACAATTGAAAAGATTCCTTCCATGCCTTAGAAGCGTGACTTGATCAGTACTTATCTACACAGCATGCTGGCATCAAAGATCCTGTTTCTCATATCGAATCCCTAGTCTTCCACACTTTAGGAAACGTAAACATTCAGGACGTGCCAGTAGCACAGCCTGCACTAAAATGTGGTTGGAGATTATTGATGGCAACACCGATGTCACCTTGCAAAACCTGCCGTGACCCAGATTCGAACCGGGGTTGCTGCGGCCACAACGCAGAGTACTAACCACTATACGATCACGGCGAGCTACGGGACAGCCATTGTAGCTCTTGTGTGGCATGTTCCTCCCTGTGATATGCCCCCTTTCTGTTCAGTGAGAACACGCTGTTGTTTTTCTCCTCCTACCAGCACAACGCTTTTCCCAAGAAACAATGGAAATGCAAACAATTGATGACTGCTGCAATTTTAAAAAGTTTGAGGACGTAGTCGGCAGGATTCGAACCTGCGCGGGGAGACCCCAACGGATTTCAAGTCCATCGCCTTAACCACTCAGCCATGACTACAAGATTGTCTGAAATGCCATGTCTTCATGACTAGTACACGTACTGTGCATCCAGATGAAACTTTCATCAAGTGATAGCTCAACGGCATAAGCTGTGGCTCCACAAAATGAGACTTACACGGCCGAACACAGACTTGAACCCTGGACTCTCAGATTAAAAGTCTGATGCTCTACCGACTGAGCTATCCGGGCTCTACAACAGTAATTTACAAGTAGGCAAGGTTTACGGTTGTGGTCGGCGCAGACCTTTACAGAACTCTAAAGTTTACCGTGAGATGAGGTTTAAGCTTATGGTTGGTGTGGATGTTGCTAAAACAGGACAGGTTACTTTGATCTTGGGTTTATGGTTGTTGTAGATGTAGACATCAGTACAACACAATAGTTTGGACTCCATGTCATGTAGGAGACATTAAATAGATCAATGATAACTGCAGAAGGTCTTTCTGCTGTTGTGGCAATGAATGGTCAGTCAACAATTGAAAAGATTCCTTCCATGCCTTAGAAGCGTGACTTGATCACTACTTATCTACACAGCATGCTGGCATCAAAGATCCTGTTTCTCATATCGAATCCTTAGTCTTCCACACTTTAGGAAACGTAAACATTCAGGACGTGCCATTAGCACAGCCTGCACTAAAAGGTGGCTGGAGATTACGGATGGCAACACAGAGTGCAACGCCAATGTCACCTTGAAAAACTTGCCGTGACCCGGATTCAAACCGAGGTTGCTGCGGCCACAACGCAGAGTACTAACCACTATACGATCACGGCGAGCTACGAGACAGCGTTTGTGGCCGTTTTGTGGTATGTTCCTGCGTGTGATATGCCCCCTTCTGTTCAGTGAGAACACGCTGTTGTTTTTCTCCTCCTACCAGCACAACGCTTTTCCCAAGAAACAATGGAAATGCAAACAATTGATGACTGCTGCAATTTTAAAAAGAGAGAGGACGTAGTCAGCAGGATTCGAACCTGCGCGGGGAGACCCCAATGGATTTCAAGTCCATCGCCTTAACCACTCGGCCACGACTACAAGATTGTCTGAAATGCCATGTCTTCATGACTAGTACATGTACCGTGCATCCAGATGAAACTTTCATCAAGCGATAGCTCAACGGCAAAAGCTGTGGCTCCACAAAATGAGCCTCAATACCCAAACAGGGACTTGAACCCTGTACCCTCAGATTAAAAGTCTGATGCTCTACTGACTGAGCTATCCGAGCACTACAATAGTAATTTACAAGTAGGCAAGGTTTAGTGTTGTGGTC